CGTCTGATGTCTTTTCTACTTATTAGTTTGCTATTTCTATATATAGTGTTATTCTTGCTAATGATACTTGTTTTAAAGTTTCAGGTTTGGGGACTACTCACTTGAGTCGTGATATATCCCTAGCCTCCGTGTTATTTATTCTTTAGTTTTGTTTTAGTTTATTTTTCATTAGCAAGATTGACTGTTCACTAAATTGTTTCGTAACTTTTTATCCCTCTTATTGTGTGTTTCAAGATCTCAAGACGAAGAGGAAGATTGGTAAAGGACATGAAGCTGGTGGGCTCTACTATTTTGACTTTGATTCACCTACTCAGGCTCTACAGACTTTGTAGTCCTTTTTTCAATGGCATTGTCGTTTTGGACATTCCTCTCTCTAGAATCTGCAGCGCCAAGTCTTAAGTTTTAGTTATGTGTCGTTTGTGTCTTGTAAAGCTTGTCAACTTAGTAAGCGTCACCATGTGTCCTTTCATTCTAGAGTTAATAATCGTGTGTTTAATCTATTTGAGTTAGTACATTTTGATGTATGGGGTCCGGATGAAATATCCTTATTTTGTAATATTTGTGGATGGTTATTCTCGTGTGACCTGGTTGTTTTTTATGAAAGCTCATTTTTTAATTATTCTTTATATTTGAGACATTTTGTAAGGAAATAAAAATCCAATATGATTGTCGTATTCGTATTTTATATTTTGATAATGCTCGAAAATATGAATCTGATCTCTTTTTAGCTTATCTTTGTAAAATTGACATTATTCATCAGACTTTATGTGCTTACACCTCTTCACAAAATGGTGTTACTGAGCGCAAGAACCGTCATTTGTTGGAAGTCACTCGTGCACTGTTATTCCAAATGAATGTTTCCTATTATTTTTGAAGGGATGTTGTTCTCACTGCTAGTCATCTTATTAATTGTATGCCATCTTTTGTGTCAAATGAGCAAAGTCCATATTCTGGCTTTTTCCTTGATAATTTTTTATTTTCCTTAACTCCTAAGGCTTTTTGGGTGTGTCAATTATGTTCACAACTTGGGTCCTGAGTTTGATAAACTTGACCGTCGGGCTACTAAATGTGTCTTTCTTGGATATTCACGCACACAAAAGGGGTATCGTTGCTATAGTCCTTTCTTTCATTGGTACTTCACTAGTGCTGATGTCACTTTTGATGAATCTGTTCTGTTAGCCTTTGGATATGAATTTTGGGTCGTCTCTTATACCACCGCCTCTTCCCTTATCGTCAAATATTCTGCTGCCTACTATGCTATCTTCTACTTCTCCACTTCGTGTATACTCTTGTCATCCTCGACCATCGACTAAGGTGCCCGTAACATTTTCCTTGTCGTCTCCTGATTCAGGTCCATTAGATAATTTAGACTCTTTAGCTGTTGCTCTTCGAAAAGGTATTCGCTCTTGTGTTATTAACTATCCCATTGCTCATTTTGTTTTATATAATACCTTGTTTTTTGTCTTCTCTTGTTTTACCTCTCAATTATCCAGTATCTATATCCCTAAGCACTTACAGGATGCGTTGTCTGATCCGATTTGGAAGAAAGCTATAGAGGTGGAGATGGATGCTTTACATCGCAATAAGACTTGAGATCTTGTTCCTTTACCTCTTGGTAAATGAACTGTTGGTTGTCGTTGGGTATATATTGTTAAATTTAATTTGGATGGTTATGTAGAGCGTCTCAAAGCCCGTTTTGTTGCTAAGGGCTTTACTCAGACCTATGGTGTTGATTATGAGGAGACTTTCTTCTGTCGCCAAAATCTCTTATGTTCGTATATTGATTTCTTTGGTTGTTAATCTTGATTAACTTTTATTTCAGTTATATGTAAAGAATATTTTCTTACATGGTGACTTAGTTGAAGAGGTCTACATGGAGCAGCCACCTAAGTTTACTGCACAGGGGGAGTTTTGTAAGCATGTATATCGGTTAAAGAAATATTTGTATGGTCTGAAATAGTCACCGAGGGTATGGTTTGATAAGTTTTCAAATGCAGTTTTAGAGTTTGATTTTCTTCGATGTCAGACAAATTACTTTGTATTTCATAGACAAACGGATGGTGGATATGTTCTATTGGTGGTTTATGTAGATAATATTGTGATTATCGAAAATGGTTCTGTGGGGATTGCCAAGTTAAAAACCTTTTTGCAAAACTGATTTCATACTAGAGGAAATATGTACTTGACATGTTAGAGGAAACAGGTTTATTAGGTGACAGACCAATTGATATTTCTATGGATCCGAATCAGAAATTATTAATGGATGATGGTGCACTATTTGAGAATTCGGGTTGGTGATTGGGAAGTTCAATTATCTCACTATTACTCGACCAGATATTTTCTATGCAGTCAATATAGTAAGTCAGTTTATGAGATGCCCTAGAGTATCATATTGGAAGCTAATCACTTGTATTCTGCGATATTTCAAACGTACTCCTGGCCTTGAGCTATTATATCGAGCTAATGAACGTCTTAGAGTGGAAGGTTTTTCAGATGCTGATTGGATTGTCTCTCTTTCTGATCGGAGATCAACTACTGGTTATTGTACTTTCCTAGGAGTTAACGTTGTCTCATGGAAGAGTAAAAAACAACCTGTGGTAGCGAAATCTAGTGCTGAGGCTAAGTATAGAACGATGACACATACAACGAGTGAGTTGACGTGACTACTACACTTTCTCTAGGAAGTTGACTTTTTAGTTCAAGTTCCTTTACAGTTGTTCTGTGACCACCAGATAACTATTCGTATCGCTAATAATCCAATATTTCACGAAAGAACCAAACATATTGAGGTTGATTGTCATTTTATTCGAGATAAGATAGTAGCTGGAGATATTACGACTTTATTTGTGAGATCTGAAGATCAACTTGCGGATATATTTATCAAAGCATTGAGTCGTCCACGTCTTAGAGCCATGTGTTCCAAGCTTGGATTATATGATATATATAGTCCAACTTGAGGGGGAGTGTTAAGAGTATTAGGGTATTATGTAAATACTAGAGGGTATATACGTCTTTTGAATGATTACAAATTAACTATACATACAAGTGGTTTGTGAGAGGTTGGTTAAGTTTTGACCTCCATGTTTCTATAATATTTTGTTAATTCTCTCAACTTAACACACCCCATTATTTGTAAGTGTTAAGGGTTTTTGAATTTTTTTTTCCCGGAAGGTGAGGTTCTTGAAAATTTTAGGATTTCATGCTTTCAACATTTTTGACTCATGAAGTAGTTCACTTCCATTGGCCTCAGAGTTGATGCCAATATTGTCGTGTCTCCTAATGCAAACACATATATCTGAACTTCTGAAGCATTAGATATGTATTCTCCTATCGAATAATTACTAGAGGAGTCAACTGTGGAGCCAAGTCATTTTATTCAAAATCTAACCTCTCTGGAGTTATTTTTTATGATAATCAGATTTAATTTCCTTTTGTACATATCTTGCACCTCTTATGTTGATTAAGTTTTCTCTGTCTTTGCCTCTTAATCTTTCACATTTTCGTTCACTACATTACATTGGAAATTTACCCTTGTGATAGGATCCATGAGAGGGTATTTGGTGAAAACATGCCACGAGTCTTTTAGATGATCCACAATGTATTTACACAGAATCAGAATTGTAGTTGTAAAAGGCACATCAGTTGGCACTTTGCGGTTCACTGGGATACTGCCCTAGACTTGTGCTTGCTATGACAATAGATGAGTCACCATGAAAGTACCTGTGCTTTGCCAAATTCATGTTCTGTTTCAGACTCACCGACTGTACTAGACCTAGTTGTTTTCATTCAGCTCTGAGCTGACTAATACTAGTGGGATATGTAGATGGCTCGCTTTACTCAGGATAAAAAATAAGGAGCTTCTGGCATTATTACTGCTATATCCTGTATCTTTTATTGGAAATTTACTAGTCCAAAGTGGTTCAGCTAATGCTTCAAGCAAGAAATATCAACTGCAACACCAGTTGCTTCACTAAAAGAGCCGAAATTGTCAGTACATTGTTGAGTGTCGGGCTGACATTGAGAGAGGGTTACATCAGTGAAACTTTCTTTTTATTGCCCTGCTTAAATGTATAAAATTGACCTGCTTTACACTCATTTTGAATGATTGAAAGGGCTGATGGACTATAGGCTGAAATCTTAAGGGCGGTTGACTGAGAAAGCAATGACCATATATACATGCATGCATATACATCTCTATTCACCTATCAACGTAGGAAAGTATCAAAATTTGAGTGAGAGGGCTTGGGAAGCCTTCCCTCTCCATTTGCTTAATTAATAGATTTTTGAGTTCTTGAATTGTAAAAAAAAAATGGTTTGCTCCAGTCAAACTCCCGCGTTGCCCATGTAACCACTCATTTTATTTTTGTGTTAACATCATTTCTTATCTTCTCTCTTCTTGTCTTCCTACGACTATCCATGTCAAAAGTTATTCAGTCCACTAACCGGTAGATTTCTCACAATATGATGTGGGGTGGAGCTGCCTTGAGTGGGGGTGATGTGGCAGGGATGCCAGGGTGATATAGCTGGTGTGAATTGTGTGCATCGCACAGGTCACGTGCCATGCCAATACATATTTGATACAGTTTTCTTTGAAGAGGGATTATCAACCTAGTCCTGCTTTGTACCGCTGGAATTTTAGTAAGGCCTGGAAATTAACGTAATACTCTAAATGGATTGAAGGAATGAAATGGCCATTCTAGAAATTATGCAACCTTAGGATTCATATTGTTCAAGTTTACTGATAGTCCATGTAGCATATGTTGCTGACCTTTTGTCCATAAAACTCGTTCGACCTGCTTAGCTAGTTTTTGAAAGAAGAGATCATGTTACTTTGAGGCATCAGTTTTTATTAATCTTATTTCAATCTGCTCGATAAAATCTCCAAGGTGGAAGAACCAGATAGGAAGAGCTTAAAGTGTTGAGATGACGAAGTCCTGGATATATGCAGAAATGCATGCATATAATGCACCTGGACAGTCCTGATGGTTTCACTAATTGAGCTAAAAATGTCTGCTATATGTAGGGGTGTAAACATAGGGACTCCAGGTGGTGCTTGAACTTTCCAATCTTTCATGCGCGGATGTGTGGCCGTATGTGGATTGATCATTTTCTTGTGCTATGTCGCTATGCTTTGTCTTTATTTTGGTGGTGGTTTTACATATTATTTGCTCAGCACACCTTTTAGACACGAGTTGCCTGGAGAGCCGCACTGCAGCTAGATGATAGTGGCTTGTGCAGAACTTGTGGCCAACGTATAAATCACTACCACTAAAAAATTTGCATTGGATTTTTGTTAATGTTGATTGAAAACCATATACATGAACTTTCTTTGCAACTGTATGCTGTATCTGAACAATTCTTTCCATCTTGAAGCAGTTGGTGATGTAGGAATACTTTTATTTTTTTATTTTTTGTTTTCTAGTTTGATTCCCTATTTAAACCTAGCATTGTTCAGGCAGAGATTGCACGCCAAGAAGCAAGGCTGAAGATGGAGAGAGAGAACCTTGAGAAGGAGAAAAGTGTGCTGATGGGAACTGCATCAAATCAGGATAACCAAGATGGCGCTCTTGAAATCACTGTAAGTGGGGAGAAGTACCGATGCCTCAGGTTTGCTAAGGCAAAGAAGTGAGGCTGAGGCGTTTCCAGGATGGGATTAAAGAAGGGCGCCTCCCTGTTCTAGATACTTCTTTTGTAGGGGCAAGTTACATACAGAAAGCCAGTTGCCGATTAAGAATTTGCCAACATTTAATTATTATGTATGTGAACTGGGATTCCCTTGGGTTTGATCCAACCATGGGCGATTACATTGATCTGTACAGTAAACTGAAACGAGTTATTGATGAAATCTGGTGTTTCAATTGGATTTTAAGTGGAGGAAAAATTACTGAGAGACAAGTCTCTCTCTCTCTCATGGCGAAGGATGATAAAAACAAGCAAACTTTACAGGCTCTACAACAGTAATTTTCCTTTCATTTTAATTCTTTTTCAAAAAAACAAACACAAACTTATTGTAACTTTCTTGATACTTTTTTCATTCCAATCCGTTTGTACATCAATTCAATTGGGAATGGGAACTACATAGAATTTTGAATTATTACATTAAAAATATATATATTTTTTTTGAAATCATATTTTATCATATGTCATTTATAATCAATTTTACACATGTCCAATAACTAATAATCAGTTATTGTAATTTTTTTTTTTTTTTGGAAAAATTCAGCTTTAATAACGTTACAACTTGATTTCATTCTCTAACTTTCTAGTGGTGTGGTGAAAGAATGGGAAAATGGGAAAGAAAAATGAACGGGAAAAAAAAATGAAGGAAAGACAACACGGCTTGCACTTCTATTGGGAAAAACTATAGCTAGTTTATAAATCAGCACATTATATTATGCTTTTTGACTTTGCTCTCATTATAGAATTGTACGATTGCTAACAACTAGCGTAGTGGGGGTGGGAGTTATTGACGGTTAGTTTGTCTTTTCAGAAGCCCGCCTTGTTTGAGTGTACGGGGAATTTTCAAACAATCCCGGCGTTATGTTTTTGCTGAACAACACGAATCCTACCATGATTTAAATTACAGTTCTACCTACTCTCAGAACTGCAGAAGAAGAACACAGACGACTCAAATGACAACTAACAAAACCATAATATTTACAGTTGAAATGCAATCAGCTATGTTTCTTCCACATACAAATGCATGCTGCTCCTTCGAAATTTGCTTTGGTAGGAGACATTGCAGTCTTGAAGCCATCAACTTTGAAAATTTTTTATAAATAAAGTTACAAAGAACTATATTGTTTGCATGCATTTAGAAGAACTATATTGGGAATGAAAATCATAGGCATGCCTCTTAAAATTCACTCCGACTCTGATTGTTTGCATGCTTCTAATTAACTACTGCAATTAATTAGAAGAACTATTTTTTTTTTTTTTGGCTGCTTTGTTTCTGATTCTGATTTTTTTGTTGCTGCTTTGTTATGATCAAATTTTCTTCTGATTTCTGTTTCTGTTAATGTTTTTTTTTGGTGCATTTGTTGCTGCTTTGTTTTCTTATTCTATATTGCTGTTTGTTTTGTTGCTGCTTCTGATTTCTTGTTCTTTTTTTTGTTGCTGTTTCTGTTTGTTGCTGATTCTGCTTTGTTGCTGATTCTTATATTGCTGTTTTTGTTCCTTTTTTTGCTGCTGTGTTGTTGATTCTTCTTCCGCAATCTTACCCAAATTCCAAACCAATTGTTTTGGACAAAATTTGGTAGGAATATTACCTTTGATCGGGTAGGGTTGGCCAAGATATTTGTCTTCCGTAAAGTATCGGATAGAAAGATAAAATATCATCATTCTTAACTGTCGGGTAGGGTGAAGATCCCTAGTAATGACATTGACCAATTGGGAGGGACGTAATATTAGGGAAAGAAATTGGGGGAGATAATTATTTGGAGAATGACTTTTGGAAAATCAATTTCAAAAATTAAGTTTTGGGTGGTAAAAAAAATTCAAGAGTTAATTCATGCATCAGATCGAATTGATCTGAAACGTCAATTATTTGAGACAGATTATGCTAGTGTTGTCTGTCGAATAATACCTTATTTTTTTACAAAATGATCTCAGCCGTTATTTATCTTTGAATTTAATTTTTTTCAAATTTGGATTTTTTTCTTTCTCTCTCTCTCTATATATACATATATAATAAAATATGTGAGATGTATCCATACATATTTTTCCTCCAAAAACCATCACCAACCCCCTTACCCCTTAACCCTTACCCCACCATACCCAACCCATGGCAAACGCAGTGTAGTGGCTCTCTCTCTCCCTCTCTCCTCCCTCTTTATTCTCATCTCAGTTTCTTCTTTCTCATGTCACTCCCTGATGCCTTACCCCACCAATGCTAACGATGCCACAATCCGACTCCACCGACCCCCTACCACAGTGCCAGCGCCATTGCTACCGACACACATATTCCCATGCCTTCTTCCCCTCCCCTCATCTTTCCTCCTCATCTCTATGCACTCCGCTCCCCAAACCCTTTGTTTCATAGTGTTCTATTTTTCCTTTCTGCAATGCCATTAGATTCGGGGAGAGTACCGAGGAGTAACTTCATGAATTATGTCATGTTGTGCACAATACTCATTAAAAGGATTAGATTCATATTCACCGTCTCTATTAGTTCTTAATCTTTTAATCCATCTATTGCTTTGATTTTCAATTTCGGTCTTGTACTTTATAAACATCTCAAGTGCTTCATCTTTAGTTCTCAACAAATAAAGTTTCGTGAACCTTGAATGATCATCAACAAATATCACTATGAACTATTTGTAAAGGTTCACTCTCTCTAGAAATGGATTTATATGGTTTCTTAGTAGACTTAGTTTCGGCACATATTTTACATTTGTCTATATTAGTTTCACACACATTAGGAATCAATCTCATTTCTTTCATTTGCCTAAAGTATCCAAAGTTCACATGTCCACGTCTACCATGTCACACATCAATAGAGTCAACCAACTAAGCACAAGAAGATGAAACACTTTTATTAATAATTTCATGTACATTAACCACATAAAGACTTTGGTCAAGATACCTTTTACCAACAAAGATGTCATTTTAGACAAAGTTACAATACCACCATCAAAGAGGATATTGACTCCGGCCTTTTCAAGTAATTGAATTGCCACAAGGTTTTGCTTTATCATAAAAGAGTTTTGTCGGAAGTCAATTTAAGGAGTACATTCCCTTTTCCCATAATCGGTACTGATTTATTATCACCCACATATACACATTCGGCACATTTCTTGACACTATTATATGATGCAAATGCATCTTTATTGGCACAAATGTGCCTAGTGGCCCTAGAGTCTACTACCCAACCTTTTGCTCCCGTGACCAAGTTTATCTCACACACTATTGCCACAATGACATTATTGGTTTCCACCACATTAGCCTTTGGTTTAGGCTTGTTGTTGTAGTTGTTGTTATCACCCTTTTGATATTTACACATTGAGGAATAATGTCCTACTTTACCACAAACATAATATTCCCCTTTTCTCTTTTGAATTTGAGGATTAGATACTTGAGACTTATTTTTATTATTATGGTTATGAGGTCTCCAATTCGATTTTTGGCCATGTTTCCTATTTTGTTGGTGTTGTGGGATTCTAGTTGGTCCACCATCTACCACATTAGCCTTGGACACCATTTCCTCGGCTTGGGTGGACTTTTGTAAAAGTATATTTTTCTCCTCAATTTTAATTTGGACAATGGTCTCTTGAAATGTCATAACAATTCTCTTTTGTTGAAATTTGAGTTTATACTCTCTCCAAGACTCGGGTAATTTTTTTACAAGACATTGAGTCTTGAATCTCTCGGGTAATACATCACCTTTTTTGGCCAACCCATTTATTATATTTTGAAACTCATAAATTTGTGATGTAACGGTTTTGTCCTCGACCATTTGGTAATGAAGGAAATTAATGGCCAAAAAATTCTTAGTACCTTCATCCTCAAATTCATATTTTGATATCAACTCATTCCATAAAAATTTAGCATTCTCAATGTGACTATACACATCAAATAGATCATTAGACAAAACATTACGAATGATACTCAAGCATAATTTATCGGCAAGATTCCAATTTTTTGAAGCTTGATCATAATTTTCGGTATCATTATCGTGTCTAAGTTCGGTTAGAACAAATGATAATTTCAAAAAATTCAACACATCAAGAACCTTTTGTTTCCATCTACGAAAATTATTTTCATCAAAAAGTTTAATTTTTGACGCATCAAGTAAGATCTTTGTCTGTACAATAAGTTGTGTATCCATTGCAAAAATCCACTTTTAAGAATGTTGTGGAATTTAGTTAATAAAGCAATGAAATGATGTAAGAAAAACAACTCTTGCACAATTAATTTCTTAAAACAAAGACAAATTTAGACCCAAAAATGATTTGTCCTAAAATCACAATTTATGAAATATAAGTAAATGAACGATTTCACCAAGCTATAGATCAAGCCGAAGCTATGTCCTTAAAGGTTGATTCACGCCCCTCGAAGTTGATGACTTGGTGTGATAGGGTCTTGGCACGATAGCCTCCCAGGATTTCTATAGATTCACCTCCACCAACACAGACTTGTTGTGAAGAGTATTTAACGACCCTTTTGATAGTTCATTGTGGAAGCACAACAAAATTTCTAAAGAGAATGTGAGATTTAAAGCAATAAAAAAGAGATGAGAAACAAAACAATTGCAAGAGAACAAGAGAGGGAGCCGAAGTCTACTGCCAGACGAAAAAGGAAAAATGATGGCTTACTTTGTAAGCTACTCCAACGGTAAAAAAAACAAAGAAAGTGGGCCATGGGCTTG